GTCACATTTGGGGGGATGTAGCCTGATCAACTACGTTTTCTAGGGAGTGACTAGCATGTGCCTAAGCTTGGTTGTGGTGTTGCAACATGTCTAAAACTTACCAACACTACCACAATAACGTTAGCATAAGAATACTATAGGAGTATTCTGTACCTCTAAAACATACATGTGTGAAAACTAAAAAGGGTCATTACTGATGGAGCAATAGTTGCTAAATGGATACTTTCCGGTTACATGTGACTAGGGCGTTATAGACTTAGAATCTGTGATCTTTGCTATACTTCATGTTCCTTGTTTTGTTGTGGATTTAGAGTTAGGGTCACTTATTCGACGAACTATCCTACCTTGGTCGCATGTAATTAGTATGCATTATGCAAGTATTGGTCTAACTCATGATGATCATCTTATAAGTAATTTAGGTTAGTACGCCTATTAATCTTCCTTTCCCCTTTTTCTCGCTTAGATATCATGACTAGCTTCCACCTTCCAGGCGACCCGTACTACCCAAACTAGGGAAATGAAGGATGGCTCAGCGAAGAGTCGGACGACGATCACCCAATCCCTCTGGATGACCACCGAGCAGAAGGCTTTCGGATAACTCCGACTCCGAGCCAGAAGTTAATAACTTACCTCCCAGAGTTTGGAACCCTAACCCCCGCCCGACATTTCAGGGTCCCACTCCTATGTGGGCCATATCCTAGCACCGATGGAGCGAGGAGCAGGGTCAGCCCTTCCCTTACATTGGAGATCGAAGCTTCTACAACATAAACGAAGGAGGATCAGCGGATCGGGTTCTGCCCAACATGATCCGAAGGATTGCCAGAAATGTCGAGCAGGGTCAAGCAGCCATTGGTCGAGTTGTAGAAGTGGATGCCAACTCGAATCTCAACACTGTTCGCATCTACCAACTCGAAGAAGCCATGGACAGGACAAGGAGGACCAACGAGGCTCTGCAACATCAGCTAGCTGCATCTCGAGCTGAAGTTAGGGAACTCCGAGCATGTCAAAGGATTAATGACCGACACCTTCAAGAAGTTATGAGTCAGCTAGCGGATCTGAGGGTTCGCCCAACAAGTAACCGTCGCCAGTAGAAAACGTCTAGTACCCCACTCTTTTGTTTAAAGGAATAGCCTTTCCTCTCTATGTTCCGTAGATCTCTCATCTGTAAACATTCCTAACTTAAAAATACTCTAACTAGACCTCTAAACTGCCAACATTTTCTCTATGGTTTGATGTGAGACCTACTGTTAGGTCAATTTTCATGAACTTGTGTTACATCATTTATACCAGTGTATAGGCAGTTAACTACTCTATTGCTATGACTCTCATTCTGATCTTAGATTATGTGATTTAATCCATGAAACACTCTATTCATCCTCGCAATAGACTCTTACTATTGCTATCATTCCTATGGTCTCCCAGTGAAAGATGCCTCCACGAAGGCGTTCAAACAGAGGAAGACCAGCAACTCAAACCCCTCCTCCTCCACCACCTCCTCCTCCGCAGTTCGATCCACTGCTGTTCCAAACGGCTGTGACTGCAACTGTGACAACAACCATGGCTCAAGTGAACTCCGGTGATGCGAGCGGTGGCAACTCTAGATTTGGCAACTCTAGATTCATGAACTGTAAACCTACCTTCTTCGATGGTACCGGAGGAATTCTGGCACTGTCCTAATGGTTCGAAAGAACTGAATCTGTCTTTGAAATGTGCTCTTGCCCGAAGAGAGCAAAACCATGTTCGCAACTGCCACCCTCACTAACAGGGCATTGACATGGTGGAACGGCCATGTCAGTGCACTCTCCTTGGTTACAGCCAATGGCATGGGCTGGGACACTCTAAAGGAACTCATGAGGAAGGAGTATTGCCCTAGGAGTGAAATTCAGAAACATGAGGAGGAACTCCGGAACCTCAAGATGAAAGGGACAGACATAATAGTGTATACGACCAGGTTCAGTGACTTGGCGGCTATGTGTCCTAATATGATACCGTCCGAAAGCAAGAAGATTGAATGGTACATCTGGGGTTTAGTGCCCCCGTATCTAGGAAATATTCTAGCCTCACGCCCTACCACCTTCGATAGCGCCCAGGAATTGGCCCAGAGTCTGATCAACCATGAAATCTTTTCCACTCCAGCAACGGCAACCACAACTACCACTGCACCACCCGATTTTTCTGATAGAAAGAGGAAGCGATGGGATAAGAAGAAGGACAAGAAGACTCAAACCTCCTCAAGGGACCAGCAAATTGTGGTGATCCATGATGCCACTACTCCAGCCGCTCCTGCACAACCAAAAGCTTATAGTGGGAATCTGCCCAAGTGTCCCAAGTGCCCTTTCCACCACAACGGCCCCTGCCGTGAATTGCAATGGTCAAACTACGGCCGGAAGGGCTATACTGTCCGATTTTGCAAGGCCCCTCCCAAACCTATCACACAGGTTCTCGGTGCAGGAGTGACCCCGACGTGTTACGGCTGCGGTGAAGCTATTGACTTCAAGAAAAACTGTCCGAAGGCTACGAATCCTGGGGGAACCCGAAGACTACTCGCTGTTGGTCACCATGAAGCGGTGGCGGATCCCACCGTAGTCACGGGTACGTTCCTTCTCAACAACTCTTTATGATATCTTAGTATACACTAAGATATCATAAATAAAAACAATCACCAACCAGTCTAACATTGGCCTACAAACCCAGTTCATGAGATCTATGAATGATGCTAGTGTGTTGTTGAGCGCAAAATGCATCACCATAAATTCGTAATAACACTACTAGAAAAAGGCCTTTTACGATGCTCACTGCGGATCATTATAAAGAGAGACGACGTGCATTTACGACGCGCATTTATGACGCGCATTTATGACGCGCGGTTATGACACGCAATGCGTATGAAGGAAGGCCCTGTTATAAATGAAGACGACACGCATTTGCGTGTGGTAACCTTACGACGTCCGTGTTTATGACACACAATGCGTATCAAGGAAGCCCCTGTCAAGAAAGGCCATGTCATAAATGAAGATGACACACATTTTTGCGTATCATAATTTTAAATGTTCTAAAAAAATATATTTATATATTTATTAATTTTTAAATTAAATTTGCATTTAATGTCTCATAATAGAAAAAAATATCATATACAAAAAATGCAATCCATTGCATAAAATTTAATGTCATACAATTCTATTTATTACAATATCTAAATTTGCATCTAATCTTCTATATACATCAAATTCCAACTAAGTAAAGTTTCATCTTGCCTTTCATAATTCTTTAAGACTAATGCTCCAAGCAGCTAATTATATGGATAAGCAGTTGTACATTGGCCCATCTCACTCAAGAATGACTTAGCCAAACTCAACTCCAAGTCTTTACTGCATCTTGCTGATAATGCTACAAGACTTGAATCAAGTGGCTTCATATTCCTTTCTTCCACCAACTTTACCTGATGCACAAAATACACAGAAACAAAAAACAACATTGTAGAGGACGGGGTAATTTGGGAAAATGTGAGGGGTATCCTCTGCAAAACAAAACAAAAAATATCCTTTGCAAGATTTGCTCTTTAGTAACCTCTGCAAAACATATATACATACATACATATATATATATATATATATATATATATATATATATCAAAAAATGAAATTTTTTATAGTTTTATATTATAATTATGCCTAGAGTATTGCATACCTGAAGAACCATTTGTTAGCTCTACAACACTTTTTGAATCTGAACCAAGCTTTCATCACTAACGTCAGCACCTTTTGTAGCCCCTAGGACTACGCATAAAAGTTAGAAAAACTAAATATTCCAAAAATACTCCTAGGACTGTTTTTGTCTCAGAATATGAATTAAACCATAAGTGATACTTTGATTTCGTTGTTTCTTGCAACTTCAACATGAAGTGTTCTGATGCTGTATGCGTAAAGTTTCACACTTTACAGGAGATTCTTGGGGAAGGAAAGAAGGCTGAGCTTGAATAGAAGGTAATTACATATCATATGCTTTTTTGTTTTAAGGGTTAAACGAATCATTTCAAGATTTGAAAATTATTAAAAAAACGTTATAATTGTAGAAAACAAATTGATAACCTTCTAAAATCTTCGGAGCTAAAATATATCCAATTAAAACAATGAAAATGTGATTTTGTTTTTGTTTTCAATGTTGTAGTAGTAGGAAGAGATGAAAGTTCGATATAATAAACAAATCACTAAAAGTAGGTTGCTATTTCTTAAAAAGTAATTCAACTTTGGCATATTATAGCTTACCTTCTCTGTTGGTGGCAGCTGCAATGAGTTCTTTCATGCCTAAATCAGAACCAAGATAAAACTATAGAAAAAAATGTAGGTTAACTCAGCAGATGAAAAACCAATAGTTGGTAATTTACAATCTTTCTTTCATCATACAATCTTTATTCTTTAGGTATAATGTATTTATTAATCCAACAATATTGACATTATGCATAACTTCAATTCAAATATAAATTGGACAAGATATAATGTCTTTCTTAAACAAATAGTTCATTATGCTACCCCACTATCATTGACTATTAAAGAAATTTAGGAAAAATCTAATAGTAGAATGTTTATGCCAATTAAGGCCTCATTTGGAAGCCAACAACAGTAATACAAGCTAGAAAAGAGGGAACAGGTGGTGTTTTTAAGTTATAATTTTGAATAGAAAAGGAAAAACTTCTATCTTGCAGGGACAACACCAAGCATGGCAGTGGTGTCAAGGACCTGATCATAGTAAGAGAAGGTGTTGTTGGGGATGTACTTAATGCATAAACTTCTATCTTTTTGCTTCTCTGCATAAACTTCTATCTTACAGTCAGTGTAGTCTTAAACATGAGGTTTACAAGGTCAAGTTTGTGAATCTCTTATGCAGCACATCAGATGTGCTTTTTCCTTGAAAATATGCTGCTACTTGAGATACTATAGAATGGAAAAGTGATTTGGCTATGAGAAAAAGAGAGAGAGAGAGAGAGAGAGAGAGAGAGAGAGAGAAGATATGAATAAAATAGCTACTTACACAGAAATGTTGACCAGCATCGCTGTATGATGGATTGATCTTCAGAGTTTGAATGATCAACCTAAAGAGCCTTCAAAATATATGATTCAACAGCAGCCCACCAGTTGCTGACGTAAGCTTTGTACCACTCTTAGAAGAGGGAGAAATAATTAATTCAATGAAAAAATGATATTTTAAAGGCTTATGATTATGTAAAGTTCTTAGAGAAATTACCACTAGTAGAAGACATAGGATTTGAACTTCTGTCTTTGACAATATTTGATGGGAATTATCATGACTTTGTCATTCTAACAGTTCACTTAGTAAAGAATGGATGAAATGTCAACATGGAAAACTGCAAAATGGATGAAAGTTAAAGGCAACTAAATTAGCATTTTGCAAGAAACTTACCCCTCCATATGGATGCAATGATAGTGCAGATCCCAAGATAAACTTCAGTATGTTGTCCTTTGTTGGCCGATCAAATCTGGATAAGTTTTAAAAAGATACAGATTAGAGAACCTACAAGGCTTTCATTATAAATATGAAAAGTGCTTATAAAATCATTAGTGAAAATACCTTACTCCAACACTCTGCTTTTGAGACTTAAGCGTAGCAGTATTGAGGTGCAATGCCAGGTAATGTATACTATATATTAGTTTTGTTGAATTAACGTTACTTAATAATAATATCGTGAAAGAGAAATATGTTATTTTGTTATTATATAAATGTATAGGGCACAACTCCTACGATTTCTATAGATAATACAGTAGGGTGCTAGTTGTACTTGAGTCAAGAGTCTCTAGAAACTTCTATAACAACTGCTAAAGCAACTAAAGTTAATGTCATGGTGCCTTCCTCAGATCCTGATGCTGATCTGGTATGCTTGCTTCCAATTTATTTTTCTTAAAAAACTTTCTAGGGGTAGTTACGTCATTTGCAAAGGCAAAAATTAGAAAAAATAAACACACAAATCAGAAGTAAAAACATACTAAAATTTTCGTAATACTAATAGTAATAGACAAACAAGAAACACAGATGAAATTGAAACCCACATCAACTGTATTCTCAAGTATCAGCCATTATTTCCTTCATTCAGACTCAAATTCCTGCCAAATATACAAATTTTGTATGTTATTATCGTACAAAATATAGAAAAAGAGGTGAATATCTAATTTTTATTAGCCGATTCTTTCTATATCACATGTCTCACCTGTTATCAATAAAATCTAAAACCTAAAATGATCAATTTTTTAAATAAACGAATTGAAATTGGGATGTGTAAAGAAGTTTAAATGCAAACAGTAAGAATGTTATAATTGGGTAAAGTTTTCAAAATACAATGCCTTGATAAGAAAAAAATTTGAAAATAGAATGTGTTAAAGAAAGAAATGAAAGTATGATGCTATATAATACACAAATAAATGAACCATATTCAAAGGAATTGGAATTTGAAGGATCTGGAATCTGAAGAAATTGGATTCTCTCACACATTTGGTTGATAAGAAATAGATTGGAATTTGTAAAAAATATGAAGAGGAAAAGTAGATGGAAATGCAAGAGATATGTTTACTTGTGAGATATAGGGTTAAAAGGGTAGTTAGAGTATTTACTATTTATAAAGAGACAGTGTTGCAAACATGATGCAGGATTAGAATCGAATCGAATTCCAGTTCCAATCCCAACTCCTATTCCAACCAAATCACACATAATATGACATAAAGGTGAATTAGACCACAAAACATCATAACTCAAGTGTAAAATAAATCCAGATAATTTAGGGTTCTGTGACTTTTTTATCAATTTGATTCAAAACTCCTTCTAATCAGATTTGTCTAAAATCCAGACATTTTGATCTATATTTGCATCAAAGTCTTATTGAGAAGAGGGAAAAAAATACTCTTCAATCAAAAAACTATTTCTTTGTGATAGAAAGGAATGAAAAGTTTGTTTACCTTGGGGGAATAAGGAGGAAGCTTGAGGTAGTTGGCATGTGTCATGACACTTGGCAAATCATCATCTGTAGATTTCGATACTCCACCCGCAGCATTTGATGCAGTGTTGTTGGAGCTTGAAGAGTATTGTAATTAATAAAGGGTTTGTGACCGAGGAGGGGCAATTTCATAATTCACCTAGATAAAATTTTGAAAACAAGGGGTGGTTGAGGGGGGTGTTTTTACCTTGCTAGCAATGGTCAACTTAGGGTTCAAGACAGCCAAGCCACCTGGAGGAAGCCGAGGTGCACCAGTAACAAATTGACAGAATGCCCTTTGATGTTCTGGATTGAACTCTCCCATTATCTCAAGCAACTAACAAAGAGACATAAACAAAACTATTAATATTAACTATACTATAAATTTATAAATCTTCCCTGAATATCGCTAAGAAAATAAATTACTCACATTAATTACTACAGGGCTCTTGGATGTGTACCCATGGTCGAATTTTATGTGTTCCACAAGTGTATCACCTTGCATTTAAAAGAAACATGAATTCTCTACATCATATCATTTTAAAAAAGAATACATGTTATGTTTATGTAGAAAAAATATGAGCAAATTACCTCCCACATTTCTCTACGCCCACAGAGTAAATAATCCAACTCACTTGGAGAAAATATTTGTAAACTTGAAACATCAAAAACCTGATAGTAATAAGATAAAATATTAGCTTAAGAAAATTATTTTGTATATTTTCTAATTCCATAAACAATTTAGCATATTAGAATGTTGGAAAAAGATGATCACCTGATTAAAGCCAGCTCTAAATGCTTCCAATTGCCTTGTGATACCAGTCTTGACAGTAGCATCAACCACCAGTGAAATGTACTCTTCCAAATTATTTAAATCGACCTGTGAATTTGGAAGCCACAATTTTATCAACAACTTAATCGCTAGATAAACATAAACCCATAAACAATAAAGAAAAAAGAAAATATCAAAGTACATTCAATCAAAAAATCATTTCTCCTTCTATTAACACTTGATCTAGAACAAACAAACATGTGAATACTATCAACCTAAATTCAACTGGACAATCTGTTGAAGCTACTTTCTTTCAAGTTTCATCAACTAATGTAACCCTGATCATTGATGTGAAAAAGTACTTAAACCATGTTGCCAACAAGTTGTTCTCGTAGTAAAGATTCACAAACAACTAAATTTGAATTCATAATAAGCTAATCATACATAATATCCATGGTTAAATCACTAAAATGAAGTCTATAGAGAATCAAACTTACTTCTTGTTTCTCCTCCCACGTTTAGGTCCCCATCCTTAAAGCTTTGTAATAGGGCAAACCATATATGAAGTGCATATGTGGTGGCACTTGTCAAATAAAAGAAAAAGAAAGAACTGAATGCGTTCATCTTAATCGGTCACTTCAATCAAGAATTAGTGCTCTAAATCGTCGGGTCTATAAGTGTAAGAAAATTAGTGCGATTATGATGGGAACCAAAGTCCAAATTCACCTGTGGCTAATGTGTCTGAAGGGTTTGGGTTCTTAGAGAAGGACTCGGTAGGCTGAGCCAAGTCCTTGTAAGGACTATTTGAGGTCCAATGGTCTCCTTTCTTCTCACATGTCCTGCATACCATCAATACATCTCCTCCTTTCGACATTTGGGCTAATGGGTCTCCAGCTGCATTTGAGTCTTCAACTTTTGTACCTAAAAGACAAAACTTCGCATTCACAATCTGCATATCTAACAAGCAGCAATGAAATTGAGATAGATTCCTAAGTTTTTAAATCGGTAGTGATTGACTATTGTCATGATGATTGATATGTGCATAGTGAATCGCAACTGAAATTTTTGATCTAGGCAATAAACCTGATGTAAAGAACTAGGGCTAGATGTAAATAAAGTAATAAACTTCTTAAACTACATATGTCTTAACAATTTAACATAAATATTTATAAAGGATTGTTACAATTATATGAAATTTCAGATCTAGGGATGACGTACCTGGAGCCTTTGGTCGCTCAAAGATGATTTCCTCAGTAGAAACCATGGTGAGTCTGGCGCCGACGTCCTCTTGAACGACATCACCGAACATAGGCCAAAATCGCCTCTCCATGGCGCGCTTGCTCAGCCAAGCATTAGCGAGTTTACGGACGCGTGTGGTGGTGGTAATCTTAACCCGATTACCTTCGTTGTTGAATTTGTACTTTCAACCCGTGTTAGTCGGGTCTAATAACCTGTTTCGGTGGCAACAAATAGTCATAGTCACCGCCATCATCTTCTTCCTCCAATTCGCCCCATCTGGGTTTTTGAGCCATGTCTGCGAAGCTGCTAGAATTGTTGCTGAGGGAAAATTAGTGTAGGAGATTCGAAGTGGTAATGTGAATAAGATGAAGATGTAATGAAGTCGGTTGTTGTGATTCTATAGGCTTCAAAATTGATAGATTTTTTTCGATTCTTTCAAGTTTGAATCTGAAAATGAGAAAGAGTTAGGGAAATCAAGAGTGCAATGGTTGTCCTTGTTAGGTTGAATGGTCGTGATTGTGAAGATGAAAGATAGATAGAAGATAGAAAAAACAAGGCGGGTTTTCAAAATTTTGGGGATTTCGTTTCCCCCTTGTCTACTAAAAGCGCGTTTCGTTAAAATTATAAAGCGACAGGTACAAACGACGCGCGTTTAAGATAAAGCGCCCTCCGTGTTTTTAATTTTTTTTTCTTGAGACACTAAATTAAGGGCACCCAATGAACCGTGACGTAAATCCTTAAATTTTTTGGAGAGATGATGCTATTTTAAGGGCACGTCCTTTTGCGTATTGTTAATTATCGCGCATCGTAAAAAGCACATCATTAAAGGTCTGTTTTCTAGTAGGGTAACCATAACAATTCCTAAAAGCTGCCTTCTGCATATCCTCATCTTTGAATCTTATGTGATGATAACCCGACCTCAAGTTAATCTTGGAATACTAAGATGCACCATGTAGATGATCAAAGAAATTGTTGATTCTTAGAAGTGGATAACGATTCTTCACCATTCACTTGATTAGCTCCCGATAATCGATACACATATGGTGGTATCCATTATTCTTCTACAAAAGTATAATTGATGTTCACCAAGGGGAACTACTCGTCCTGACAAATACTTTTTCTAATAACTCATGCAGCTGTATGGACAACTCCTGCATCTCCGAAGGTGATAAGGGGTATGACGCCTTGGCTATCAGGGCTGCACCCAGAACTAAATCAATTTGAAACTCTACCTACCTATTAAGAGGCAATCCCGAAAAATCCTCAGAAAACACATCATGGAAATATTAAATGATAGGCACAATATCCATAGATTTATTCTCCATAACCCGAGTATCCATAACATATGCTAGAAAGCTAGAGCATCATTGTTGAAGATACCTTCTTGCTCTTGCTTCTAATCAAATAATTGGTCCATGTTGAGTGCCCTCACCAAGAATAACTAGTTCTCCCCCATGTTGGGTTGGAACATGTACTGGATGATGCTCGCTATAAAACAAAGCCCCATTATGACTAAGAAAATCCTATCGTATAATCATCTTCATCCCTCATATAGGAATAGGGACCATAACTACCAAATACCTTCCACGGAACAGCTCGAGAATGTAAATTCGATGAACCCTTGGAGTACTCAGTATACGATAATCAACAATCTTAACCTCTAATCGATAGTCCAATGCTCCAGGAGTATCATTGAACTTCTTGGTAAGCAAAAAAGAAACGAAATATTGGGTAGCACCCGAGTGGAAGAGAACATAAGCAACCATAGCATTGTATTAAAACATCCCTAATAAGAAGCATATAAAACATAAGCGTAAATAGTGGATGACGGAAAAGATCTGAGAAGGATTCATACCAGTGACAATGTTTGGTGCTGCTTGGGCCTCTGTAGATGTCAACTGAAATGCTCTACTCTTCTCCATAAGAGCTTCTGCGTTTCCCTCATGACCATCGCTAATCATCAATGTAGTTGGAGCAGGTGCCCTTGTCACTCCTCCTTACATTCTCAGACAATTGGTGTTCTTGTGGCCCGTCTAATTGTAATGGAAGCATATTAGAGCTCTAAAAGTGCAATCTACGTTAATGTGTCCCATTTAGCCACACTTGTAGAAACCTGCTCCTCTTCCCACACCCCCAGAAAACTCCTTCATGCGATCTACCACACTTTCCACAATGAGTACAGCCTAGTTGGCTTGTAGATTGAGAACAAAAGTATTAGCTTCTACCTTGAGCCATCAGTTGCCTGAATCAGAGCTAACTTATGCTTCATTTGAAGCTCTGGCTAAATCTCTCACTCCCAGGCTCCAACAATCATATCCTCCAATATCATGCACCCATAGATGCTAAAAAATCCATGATATAATCCCTCATCATATCATGGTATCTCTTCATCTTAATCTCCTCATCCACATCATACTGGAGAACCGTAAAGCTCTCTTCCTTAACATAAGGGTGATGTCTATGAAGGGCTTAGTCATCCGACGAAGGTCCTAAAACTCCTTTGCTATCTATTGCACCTCAATAGCTGGTGCAAACTCAGATCTGAACTTGGTAACAAAGTTTTTCCAGGTTATGGCCTCAATGGCCTCCATTCCCAAAGCATGACCAATGTCCTCTCCCCATTCGCGAGCTTGATCTCTCAGAAGACAAGCTACAAAGCTAACCTTCAACACGTCAATGTAAAAGTTCATCTACTAAGAATTTTATATGTGCGTAACCGATCGTCTATTGGTAGTAGAATCTTTCTTCTTAAGAAATCTGGAGCTTTACAAGCTTTAAACTCCTGAGAGATGAGATCTTGTGCTCTAAATCAAGAAACTTCAATCTCTGCATGAAATGCCCCTAGAGGATCATCTAGTAACTTCATAATCCCCTCCTTGATCATACAAAATGTCATATGTGTCGCATCCAAGATACCGCATGTGATCTCTAACATGATAAACTTGCTTATCCTCTCATCAATTGGTTCAACATCAATGCCTGCACTAGAACTAGAACTAAAACCAGAACCAGAACCTTGGGTAATCACCACCATAATGAAAGGAAAATAAAAATATCAGAACATACCCAAAGAATCTCTCACGTTATAAGCTTCTTAGAATTTTCTTGACTTTTTTTCATTTGAGTACAAATCCTATCCTTTAAGTAGTATGAGCCCAATGCTACCTTCCACACATATATGTACTTTCCTCAAGAATCCTCTAAGGCACTCCATTTTGAATACATTCATATCCTATGCTAAACAACATACACAAAGATACTATAGTACTTCCTAGGCTTTCCTAGGATTTCTCTTCTGACACATGCCGAAACGGTCGCGGCCATTACCGAAAACCATTCCATTAATGCAGGTCTCACATAATCGTAATAAAATAGATATTCAAATTTATGTCTCAACGATAAGTCCATCATCAGACAAGAACAAGCAATAAGGCTGAATCAAACATTCTCAGGCTATTTAGTCTTAACTATGTACTACCCTAAAGCATTCGTCAAATAGTTTCCTATGTCATCAAAACCCTAAAGCACCTAGGTCATCTACACATAACAAGCATATAAAGGCAACTCTCCTAGCAAGCATACCAATCATGCAACCTTGAGCAGATTATTAGCCCTATTCTAGCATGTAACTAAAATCACAACATACTATAGCATAATAATCATGTATGGGTATTTTGGGACTCACTTACTTGAACTTGGTTGATAGCATGCATCATACACCCTTTTGTTTATAAAATCTTCTCCTTTTATAAAAATATATATTAACCATCAATTTGAGTTCAGACACACTCGAAAGTGTATCTGAATCCCTCAAATAAAGGCTATGATACCAATTTGTAATGTCCTAACAATACTTAGTGGAAATGTTTTTATTTATAAATCAACCAGACGATTCTTTCATTTATCCCCAAAAGATAGTCATAGTATAATGTGTTCTCTAAAAATCAAAATAGAAGATAATGTAAATAATCTCTCGGGGATGCAGTGCGATCAGGTCGGGTCCATCCATTTCAAACCTGAAGTACATGAAAACATTTAAACATGAAACCATAAGCACAAATATTAGTGAGTTACTCTAAGTATCACAAACCATACATAACCATAAACATGCAATATTGAGCCTATTTTATCCCATGTCAACGCTATAGTCAACATTCAGTCTTACAACACTCCTGCAATTACCATGGCCATCTTGATGAACTATCATGCAAACATAACAATAAGAAAGTCGAAGAAAACAACCACATATGTCACCTAGTGTCCTACATAGTATAATGGAGGACTCTAAAATCTCAACCATCTTCTAGATCCAGAAGATATAGAGCTCAACAGACGTTAATGAGTCATAAGAATGAATCACTTAAATCACAACTATCAACCAAAAAGTGCATAGAATGCATGATCTACTAAGAATGAACAAAAAAAAAAGATTAATTCATAAAGTCTTAGAAATGGTCCATAGAGTGATCCCAAATATGAACAAGAGTTTATTACTTGATACTTGTAGTATAATCCTCTTGTTTTAAAGTGCATTAAAAATACCAAGATAAGCTAAAAAATTCACAAAGGAGGCTAGTGTTTATCAATGCTTCTTTGGAGGTGATGAAGGCCGAGGGTGAATGAAACCCTAACCATCATTTCCATTAAAAAGGGATTTAGGCCCTGAATATAGGGTTCACCAAGAATGAGTCGACATGTCATTGAAAATACGTAGCTACGTCGTTCAAACCATTTAATGAGATACATGATCCTAGCCGATTGACACATCGTGGTGATCTCTTCACCATATCATGGCCACCAGAATTCTCATAATTGAATATAGAAATCATACTTGAAATCCCACTACAAGAAAAATCCAATTTGGCTAGGGAAGGAATCTATTACAAAAAGCTGAGATTTCGTCACAAAATGAGAATAAAGATGGAATTTCCAAGGACTCATTTATGTACCAAAAAACTGTGACAACCTGAAATTCCCAAGCTTGTTTAATCAATTAAACCTGTCAGTGTTAGACTCATTTTACTTCTATTTATCACCATTTGGGACCTATTTTGAGAGTCCTAACCCTAGTTCATCAAAGGAATAAGAGATTGGAAATAGCAGGTTAAGTTCTTAACTGCCTGCAACCGTAAACCTCCTCAAAAAGAGAGTTTACGGTCAAGACCAATGAGCTTACGGTCATGGTGATCGTAAAACCATCCATATATATACAACACTTAGCCATTTTCAATCACTTTTCACCATTTCAAGCCTAGAAATTGGATTCTCTCTCAAGGATCATAAACTTTTGCTT